CACTGCATTACCAGCGCCTCAAGTAAACGAGCGTTTAGTTTCGCAAACGGAAGATAGAGAGAGAAGTAATCTGAAGGGAGAAAATGTAGTTGTCATTCCTCAGGAATATTTTAGAATTCACATTTTAGCATTCAAATTGACAGTGAAATCTTTTACAAGATACATGCGTTATGTAGACGCCGAGACAGTTGTGCTACCGAGGCGTGAGTTGAAGTACACAGTAAGGAACAAAATGTAGAACTTTCTTCTATGTATACGCATTATTTAGGAATGCACGGCAGCTAAACTCTAAAATAAATAACCATAACAGACAGTGAAATATTTTATAATACACAAGTATTATTTAGACGCTGAGGCAGCTAAGCTGTCCAAACAAGGGTTCACCTACACAATAAAGAACAGGTGGTACATACCAAGGACAGTAGAATCTAAGGGTGCGTTTACGTTGGAGCTGCGATAAAGGATGCTAGCAAAATAACGAAATTGTTGTCATAGTTTTATATGCAGGTGTTTATATTGGAGCGACGCATTGTCACACGCTTGACAGCAGACTAACGATAAGAGCGACGCTAATTGTATTCCCTATTTTCTTTGCTATTATCAGGTGTGGTCGGCATGGATATCGACTGTTTAATTAGTGAAATTTTTGTTAGATCCCCCTTGTGGAACCAAAAAGATAAAAATCACCACAACAGATCGACGCTCCACTATAAACAGCATATCATAGAAACGAATTTTGCGCAGCTCTTATCGCTGCTCTCATTACTGCTTTTATCGTTTATCGCAGCTCTTGTTCCAATATAAACACCTGCATATAAAACTATGACAACAATTTCGTTATTTTGCTAGCATCGTTTATCGCAACTCCAACGTAAACGCACCCTAACAAGACTATATCCATTGTATTTTTGTATTAGTCCACTACGGGTTGGTTGCCCGCACTCTACTTCACACTATTTGCCACGGCTGGTAACTATCTGTGTTTTTAGAGGTTATATGATAGACATTAATACGACTAAAAACATAAAACTTCAAAAATAATATGAATACGTCTAGGATGTAACCTCTAAAAATACACAGAAAACGCATAGACCCATAGACCATAACAATAGCTGGGCGTGGAAAATGGTGTGATGTAGTTTGCGGGCCTAGGTAGGAGGGAATTTATTTAATGAATTTTTGGAAAATAAAAAAAGGCAACGGCACGCGGTGTTCCCAAGCAGTCACCCATCCAAGTACTAAGCGCGCCCGACAGTGATCAGACGAGAACCAAATTCAAATATAAATTTATTCATTAAAATAGTTGATACAGGATAATATTACAATACTTCTTAAAATTAACTTAAAATTAACCTAAGATATCATAATACATCTTAAAACTACGGAATCGACGACGGTTTTTTCGAAGCGGCGGCGCTTGTTAAACCGGGATAGTGAATACGGGTGTTGCAACGATCTATATACAAAAGATAAATATATGTACAAATTACAAGGGGTTGCAAGGGAGCCGCGTGACAATATAGCTGAGACAATTGGGGGGGAAGTTAGTTAATCGGTTGCGGTTGAATCTCCTAATTGAGGGCGGACGAGTGTCGGGAGAGCGCTTGGGAGGGTAAAAAATCCTAGCGTGTTATAACAGCGGTGAGGCTGTTTGTGTTGGTGATGTGTTGATTAGTGTGGGTGTGTGTGTGTTAGGGTTTTATGTGTGTGTGTGAGAGTGTTCGTTACTATGGGATGTGATTGTGATTTTAAGTGAATTTATTGAGATGTGTTTTTTCAAAGGGGAATTTGTATTTTGTGTTGACGGTGTTGTGGGAGGTGATGTTTTTAATGAGCGGGTTTGTGTGATGCTTAGACGAGAACCCGTACATTCACTGTAGTATGGCCGTTGCCTGTGTATAAAATTTCATGCTAGCTTACGTTTGACCATAATAGTGTCATTTCAGATTTACACGATGTGTTCGTCACGAAAATACAACACATTACATACGTCGTGTCGAGCAATGTGTTGCATTGAAAATATTTTAGCTGAATCTCCTCGTATAAATCATGTACGCAAATTTACATTAAAATAGTCCAGTAGTTTTGCCATATACATATAGACTCAGCTCATCTACACAGACCCTGTACAATGTGAAAGAAATCGTTTGTGCGTCTTCTTTGCAATGACATTATCATTCGCGTAGCAATTACTGCTATTATGTTCAATCCATTGATTTGTTGAAATCCAACAAGTTATTCGAATTACAAGAAAGAGCTATAGTTTTCTTTCCACAGAGTAAGTTGTTTTGCAATGGTCCTAGAAATATTATAATTTTTATAACTAAAAAAACTTGCTCGGTGGGCGTCGGCGACATGAAAATGGATCCCTAAGAACATTATTATAAAATTATTTAAGAAATGTTGCATAACCAAGGTTTTGGATAGTGTAGTAACATTTATAGAACCGTGAATGTAAGTATTTTTTTATGACATCGATTTAACATGTCTACATATTAATAATACCCTCCAGTGTAAGCGTCATTACATTATTGACTTTGCTTTTCAGGAGTAAGTTTTTAAATTACCTCGGCGGGAAAATGATTGAGATGGTGTCGAATGAGGCAAAGAATTGATGGAGTTTGGTCTCTTTTCCAATCAAGCAATAAGCATAAAGTAGAATACCTCTTGATAGTTAACTTATAAACACTTTCATCTTTTTGAAGAAACTTCAACATAAGTTCCAACAACTAGACGTTGGATTAATGACATTCACAATATAACACATCCAATTGCTTTGTATGCAAAAGGAGCCAAGTTCGTGTCTCGGCAAAGTAAACTTTTTTTGGGTTGAAATTTTCAAAAAACTTGAGAATGTTCCCCACCTAAACAGAAGTTTCAATTTTTTTTGTAAAAAATCAAAAGCGACATCTGTTCGCTAGTAGTGGAACTAATCACAATTAGTCGAGGGTTTGAAACTTAGCTAAAGAAAAAGCATACGGAGTGGCCCCAACAAAATGAAAATTTTAATTTTTTAAAATTCGTGTTTTCGTTTGGTTTGAATCACCCGGTATAATTTTTCAACGGGTATTGGTTTGAAACTTGACTAGATGTAATTAGTTTCGCTATTGGTAAATAGATGTCGCTTTCTAATTAATTTATGTTTGATTTTAATGTTTTTAAAAATAATAAATGTTTGTTGGAGAAGATTTGAATCCTCTTTCTCTTTATTATTAGCTTATTTGGCTTGTTATCTCGGGCCACACTTTTTTCTTAATGTATGATATATTGTGTTATTATTAATAACTTATTAAATTTAAATGTGATTTTGATAAGGAATAAAACACTTTATTTTTTTAGTGTCAAACTACTTTATTTTGAAAGAGGATTAATTAAAACATCTCACTAAAAGTCTATGGTTAAACATCAACAGAACTTGTACAGGTAGGTATTCAAATTGAAACAATTCTAAAAATCTATTACACGGTCATCACATTCAGAGAAATATCACAAATTGGAGAATACCTTACTCCAACTGAATAATTTGGGGATTTCATAACCACTTTTATTTTACCACATTATTGAAACAGTAAAAATTAATAATTATATTGCGCAAGAGGATAAACGAGAAAAAATTAATAATTAATAATAATTATAAAGAAAAAAAAACACCATACTTTATATGAAAAACGGGTTTAAATGTATTCCGTTTTAGTTTTTTATAGTCCAGTGTTCTACCCATGTTGTTGTATTTTTTATTATTATTTTAGATTACAACAACTAACCACAATCGTATAATGTATCTATACAGGTTGAAGAAAACAACTTAATATTGTTGTTTTTCTTGGTTAACTATTTTGAAGTGTTACTTGGTAGAACGTAATAATTGTAAGTGTATTTGTGTGTAATAATGGGATTATGTTTTCGATTTATGTGTAATATGTGAGTTTAAAAAAAATCGATCAGTTATGAAATCCGGCTACGATTCGTTACATTTCCATCGCTCCATAATTTATTATTTTTAAACCTACAAAAAAATTTTCTGTTTTACCAAGTGCCAAAATGGCACAGTAAAATTACATTCGTCATTAATAAACAAAATCGTGATAAATAGGCCAAATAGTTTACTTTTTAGATTTTTTTAAAATTAAAAAAAAATGATATTGTTCCAAATAAATACAGAAAAATTTACATCACAGCATTTCCTTTTTTTTTCTTTAAATTCTACAAATATATATGTATATATATCTATATTATATAATAATTACAATTTGATTTTTTTTTCATTCATCATTTCGTTAGCCTTGCTTGTTAATTAATTAATTAATTAATAATAATTAAAAAAATGCCAATATAACAATTATAACATTATAAAAAACAACATTTCTTTTCGGATTTCTCTCAAGCGACTTTTTAATTAACATGTACAGGATGGTTTATGGTGATTACAATGTTTTTTTAATCACCATATTAATACACCCTGTATTTAATTTATTGATCACAATGCGATACCATGGTTATTAGAAAAATTTATATATGGTGTGTTTCAAAAATAATATGCCAAATTAATCAAATTCGTTTTAAAATAATAATTTGATTCGACCGATTTCGTAAAGCCATCTTCATCATTAGGATTTTGCATTACAAGGTGTATTAATTAATGAAATAAAACATTATTATTATTAAAGATGGTTTTTTTAGAAATGATTTTAATAATTATGATATTAATATTTTGGCATAAACTTTTGAAACATCCCACTCTATTACATTCAGTAAACCATTAAAGTGCTTTTAAAATTGCTCAAATTTCCTTTTTTTTCAAACTGAAGTCGTCAAAGCAAAAAAAAAAAAATAAAAAAAATATTGGAAACCGTAGTTTTTCATTATTTATGGCAGTGCGGAACACAATGTATTAAAGATTAATACTGAGATCAATGTTCTCTCACAAAAAAAAATTAAATCAAAACTCAAATCTTAGCACTATTAATTAAAAAAAAACATCAATCGATTGGCAAAAAATTAATTTTTTTTTCATTTTGATATTCGTCATTTATCGGTCGTAATTTTTCACTATCATTTATTGTCTGTCCCCCATTTTTTTTTTAAATTTTTTTATTACGACCAGATCACAAAAATTTTACTTTTACATATTTATTTAAAAAACGGGTGCTCACAAGCCGAGTAGTACGTTGGTGATGTTTATATTTTCATATAATATAATTAAAAAATTATAATATGTGTCTATATTATATGTATGTATATATTTTTTATAAGCCATACGAAATGGTCATATTTTGTTCAATTATGCGTTTATATTTTTAATATAATATGTACTTTTTTTATATTTTTTTTAGTATAGTATATATACGGTGCAAGGACTCTTCAACTATATGAGAAAAAAAAAATAATAAAACAAATATAGAACATAACAAAAAGAAAAAACAAATAGCACAAAATCAAACGAACGTTATTTTAAAATATTCATATACAAATATTTATATACATTTAATCCTTAAATTAAACATGATTCAGTGTGGTGTCTTTAAAAATTAATTATAGGACACCGATCAGTTCCTTTCTGGACAATTTATTCTTATTTATTATTATTAATATTCTTTGTGCGGAACGCACCCTTCCATTACCTTTCTATTAATAATATATAGAAGAAGAATGGGTTTTCAGTCGAGTACGTCCATCTTTTCATTACCGGTTAATTCGGTTACTTGTCAGTACAGCACAAGAATAATTTCATTCACACATGATTTTTTTCATTTTTTGTTTTTTTAGCATTTCGGATTACTAAACAGTTTTTTTTTAATTCATTAATAATTTTTTAAATAGACTAGATCTCGAATGGGTTATCCTAGTTTGTCATGTAACAATTTACGGTCCTTAGGGCATACAGCAACTCCGCTTGCATTCTTGCCTCCAAAATCATTAAGTTTACATGTACCTATAAAGAAAAAAAATATTTCTTTAATATCAAGATTTATTTTATATTAGATGTTTTCTTTATATGATAAGATCGCCATATTTTATTTTTAACGGCTAATATAATAAAGCCAAGGTCATTTATGGCCGAGGCGCTGCAATTATACTTTTTTATGCTCATGATATCTCGAAGATAGGAAGTATTAGTAATTCTATCACAAGTGAGATAGGCTATAATCACTTAATTATATCTCATTGCCATTAAGTATTAATTCACCGACTGAGGGTATGAAGCCGAGGTCGCTTGCGGGGCGAGATACCTCTCGCGCCCAGCAAAAATATATCATTTTTATATTAATATACAATAATTCTTTATACACAAGGTTGCGATATTTTACTTTTGCCGATTGAGACCTATCTTAATTATGTCTTATTGTAATTATACAGGGTGCCCATTATGTATGGAATATAGCAGTGGTGTCCACTAATTTTTGATGAAGATCGACTTTTTATATAAATGTCTTGCCAAGATCGACCAAAGGGTTTTTAAAATCCTTTTTTATATTTGAAAGGTACAAAAAGTAATTTATACATATTCTCAAAAATTTTCTGATTAAGGGTACTAAAATTTTACGTTATCGTAAAGAGAAAAAAAATCTCTATCAAATGAGTCTAACGAAAGGGTACATTGCCATTTAAAAAACTTCAAGTGTTATTCGTTGCTCATTTGTTTTCTGAAATAAAAACAATTGAATGCTGTCTCTTATTATGGCAAATAAAATATTAAACAACTTTTATATAAAATGTTTTTTTATATAAGATACCTACCAAGGTATATACTATATTCCATACATAATGGGCACTCTGTATATTATGTTAATAACTGAGAAAATAAAGCCGAGGTCGCTTGCGGCTGAGACGCTACCTCGATATAGCTTCCGCACCGAGTGTTTTGTCTTTAATCCTCTATTGTGCCGTGTATATCTGGATGAACGATTTTGTTCGTCATTGTGTTATATGACGTTTGAGGCAATTTCACCTCGCTGTATATTGCAATACACATACAGAGTGTTAATTAATTATCGTACTCGACGTCATCATTGCAAGTATGCAACTAATATCACACTGAATATATCTGAATACACAAATCACGTATTGCAATACCAGTACTGTGATATTGGTTGCATACTTGAAATGATGACGTTGGGTACGATAATTAATTAACACACCATATTCTAACAATTGTGCTAGATGAATTTGCTCGGTGTCAATATTATTTTGCCGTATGCTGTAAGTGAACGACGATTGTGTGCTGACAAAACTGGTACGTTGCTTGCAAGGTCTATAGAACATAAGATTGCCCAATGCCGATTCTCCTCCTCTGAGGGGCAAGGTGGGTCAGTGACGTAGCGACCTCGGCTTAATACAGTGACATCGTATAGTAAGCCGAGGTCGTTTGCGGCCGAGACGATACGGTGGTTGATACCAACCTTGTGTTGATATAGTATTAACACTACTGCCTCGGCCGCAAGCGACCTCGGCTTAATACAGTGACACCGTATACTAAGCCGAGGTCGTTTGCGGTCGAGGCGGTACGTTGGTTGGTACCAACCTTGTGTTGATATGGTATTAACAGTACCGCCTCGGCCGCAAGCGACCTCGGCTTAATACACTTATATTGCATATTAAGCTGATGTCGCTTTCGACCGAGGCGGTACGTTGACTGATGCCAACCTTGTGTTGATATGGTATCAACTGTACTGCTTCGGCCGCAAACGACCTTGGATTATTACAATGACATAGTGCATTAATCCGAGGTCGTTTGCGGCCGAAGCGGTACGTTGGTTGACGCCAACCTCGTGTTGATATGGTATTAACATTATTGCCTCGGCCGCAAGCGACCTCGGCTTAATACAGTGACGTCGTATATTAAGCTGAGGTCGTTTGTGGCCGAGGCGGTACATTGGTTGACACCAACCTTGTGTTGATATGGTATTAATTGTACTGCCTCGACCTAATGCGTTAGAAAGCAAGTTTTTTTGGTTGAGAATTTGTTCTCTACTTTTTATATTAAATTATTACTTATTACTTTATTACTTAATTTTCTCAATAATTTAGTGATAAAGACCATCTTCGGCTCGCCAGTTTTCTGAATTAAAATTCTTCGTGTTCTCACCACATCTGCAGTAGATTTCTAGCTATATAATAGCTATATAATTTCTAGCTCTATGCAAATTTTGCATCCTATTTCAGAACAAATGAAAAGAAGTAAAACAAATTTGCAAGGGAGAAATTCTAAACAGGATTTCACTAGTAAACCCAATTGGGGTTACATTTTGCTTGCAGAAAGTTGTGTAGAAACACCGATACACTTTTTCTATAAGTTGTTCTGCAATAAACAAAAGAAATGAAGTAGAAAATTATGAATGTTTTTCAACATTCTCGAAGGAAGATTGGAAAAAGTGAGACAATCACACCCTGAAGATAGAAGAGAAGTTTACAACGCAGTCCAATTTGCGTAGATAAATGCATAAATAAATGAGATTCCTTGGCACACTCCACAAAATGTCGTAACATTTTTAGGTTTGTCCGCAGCTTGTTTATTTTCTTTCATCATTCTTTTACAACAACTAGTACACCTGCTCCTAATTTTTCGATTTCTATTATTTTCTTCATCTGTCCCTTGTAAATAATGGTGTTGTTATTTCAATTACGCATTTCTTCAGTAATATTTGATTTCAAGTGAAAAATAAATGTTTTAACAATTATAACTTAAGTGTTTAAACTTGTATAAAAGATTGTTTAGTTATCAGAATTCCTTCTTAATATACAGGCTGTTTTTAAATTGATACGAAAAATTTCAAGAATTGATTTTTTAGGCAAAATTATGGAGATAACTGTTGTTAATAAAATGACACTTTTTGACGATTTTTATAACCGGAAAATGTTGTTACAAGGGGCTGAAAAATCAACCCCTATAATACTTTGCATCTGAACTTTTTAATGCGTCTACGTTTTGCTATTTAAAAACTTGATTTAAATAGAGAGATAAATCTAGACGCAACTAATTTGTCTCTTAACATTTTCTCATAAAATTGTTAGTTTGATTATAAAAAATACAATAATACACAGGTTCAAGCGAATTAATACAGATTGATTTTGTCCTGGCAACCATCAACATCTTTTTAAACATCTATGGTATAATTAATTATTAACTCTAACATTTTTTAATATCATACATGATACTTAACATCGTCAAGTTTTTTAGAAATTCGGCATAACATTGAAAATTTTTCGAAATTCTTGAAGTTTTCTTAAAAATATTAGATACTTTCTAATATTAGATATCTTGAAAAAACTCTTAAAAAGTGTTAGAAACTTTTAGATATCCTTCGAAATCTTTAAAATTTTCACTGAAATTCTGATTTTTATTCCGATATTTTTTAGAGGATATTTTGAGGAGTTTTTGAAGAGATTGACCTTCTTGAAGATTCTTGGGAGATTTTGATGATAAACGTTGTTTTTTCGTAATGAAGTAACGTCTTCTTAACTTATTTAAGCTCTCTGCGATGATAAGGTTAGGAATTAAGCAATATACAAGAAAATATGATAATGATAATAACAGCTACCGGCTAGTATTCTCAAATATCGCCAAAATAATCTCAAAATCGGTTTTGTGATTTCAATACAATCCTTAACATCTTTCAATAATACTCCTCCTCTCTCCTTAACATATTTCTCAACATCTTCCTCAATATCTCTCATTTTCACCTCTAATATCTATTAATTTAATGTAATATTGTCCCAGATATCTTTGAATCTCTCAACACTGTTCACTGCTCCTTCGTCTATGCTTTCTCTAACATCTATCAACATCGTCCTTGATATCTCCATGCATTATTCTTAAACATCTTTCGTAATTACTTTTTATATTTTTAATGTTTGTGCATATGCACGTATTTATTCAGAGATGGATCTTGTATTTGAGACAGACCATATTAGATTTGTAATTATGACTCGTTTCTATCCATATTTACCACATCAATGATGATAAAAGCAGCTTCAAAGCTAATGTGTACCATATTTTCTGATTATAGGTTAGGGTCGAATGTGGAAGTAACAACTCAAAAGCTATCTATTTCCGCTTAATACGTATGTTTCATGTGCTTTTCTTTCGTTAGATTTTAAAGATAGTCGACGACTCTTCTAATTATACATACTATTTGTCAATATGTTGTGATTATGTGAACAACGGGGCTTTGTGGTAGAAACTTGTATCAAACGCACTCACAAACATCGTTGCAGTCAAAGCATTAATAAAGCAGCACATTCTGTTTTGAAACCTGACTCTGAACTTCAAATATGGAAAGAATTCGAATGGTGAAGCTGATTGACCTTAAATTACATCCTGACACGATTATGATTGTTCAAAAATGAAGTTTGTCTAAATAGATAAAGTGTAAAAAGTCAGTGTGTACTTGTAATCCAGATTTTCGTTATTGATTTATTGAAAATCTTTGTAACGCCCACCACAGATCTTTTCAGTATCTAATAACTACCATTGAAAGTGCAGAAGAGGTTCGTCTTATTATTACTGACACTCTCAGGTACCTATACTGTAACATTTACATCCCAAAATTAAGGAATTCAATATAAGTTAGACAACTTGTTGCAAAGAATGTTCCCTGATGGATTAATCTTAAGGTTGCCCATTAAGGTCAACAATTAGACAACATAATTTTTATAACATAGCTATAAAAGAATTCCGGAAATGTGGACCGAAATGATTCCAACTATTTTGTATCTAAATCGGAATCAAAATCAAAGATGAAATTGGAATCAAAATCGGAATTAACACTTCGTTGCGAATTCAAAAAGAATTTTGACGAAAATTAACGAAAATATTGTCAAAAATTGTTTTTTCCAAATCGAATGTTGGTTCCAATTTAGTTCACAACTTACACAATTAAGGATACTCAAATCCATTCATTTATTTTATCCATTACAACTAAGGTTTATTGGCAAAAAGCTAAACTAAATTTACAAATCATGTTATTGCTCCAATAAATTAACTTGACGCTAATCTACATATCATCTGTTGACCTAATTTAAGGACGTTTGTTTTGATCGGAATAATAAACTAGATTATTATTGGTTATAGGGATACATCATCCATAGATTTCATCAGCATGTAAACATATCAGCATAAGAATTTCGCAGCCTTAAAATGTTTGGCCTCTTTGATCTTATTATGTTGAAATTAAAAATGATAATAATTTTGGACTTATAATTTTGTTTTACTTACTTTTTCACTGTGTTTAAATTCCCTGAGAACTCTATCATAATCCTTCTTAGTAACTCTTTCTGGATAACAACATGCGCTCTTGATGAACGTTTTAAGAGTCCGTTCAAGCAATTGATTGATTTCACCATAATCATAATCATCGTGTCTAATACCAAGCAAACACTGTATATAATTCCAAATAGCACGACGGAAACGCGAAGTGTCCACGTCCGTTCGTCCTCCCATCGTGTAATACGTTAGATTGTAAGCGGTCTTGAACTTTTCATCGAGCAAGTTACCGACATCGTTGTAAAGACGGTTCACTAGCGAGTAACCGTGATCGTCCCACGAGTAGTCCTGAACGCGGAACGTCGAGATTTCCTGATCGCTACGTTTTGCAAAGTCTTGGTAAAGGAACAAGGGATCGTCGACGAAGATTCCGATATCGGCCGGCGTTTCTTGTGGCTCTTGACCTACGGCGTTTAACTCCGCCGATTGACTTTCAACATTCTCAAAACGTTTCGTTAATTCAACGGGTGTACACTCTTGAGTCTGTTCGCTTAAAGTTTTCATACGTTGCATTAACGTTGAGATACCCACTTCTGGTTCGGTTGGCGATGGCGGACTAGATCTTGTACAATTACTGTTTTTCCATTCTACAAAGACAAATTAAAAAAATTAATTTTAGAATTAATATTTGCTTTTCAATAAAATTAATCTTTTATGGCGCGTAGACATTAAAAAGATACGCATGAAATTATTTTTTTATGTTTTATCTGGTGTGAGCTAGATTTTGAGTTCGTAATTTTTAAATAAAACGGTAATAAAAAAAATAAATGTGCAATAATACCTTGTCTAGTATCATTAACAGGAATATCTTTTGGATCAGTTTTACTATGACGATGATGAATAGCTAAAGCGGCTCTATGAACTTCATCTTGTGTTTCATATCGATATCCACCAGCTTGATCGACCTCTTGGTTGACACCGCATGAAAAGACGAAAGAACAAAGCGAATGGAAGTGTGCTAAGATGACGATTGCGTGGACGACTTCGGCCAAAGACCAACTATCATTACATTTGGTCAATTTGGCGATGTGTGATTTGTTGAGAAGCCACGGCCGATGAGCTAAGATCTTTGCGATATCATACAGATTGCGTAGCTTGGCCGGAATGTGTTCCAGCCCTTTCAACCAATCCGGGTTACCCCCTTGGAGAAGAAATTCTTGTTTTTGAAGGGATATTAAATAGCTACACTGATGGCGACCAGCAGCCTAAAAAAAATTCAAAATAAAATTAAAAAAAGATTTCATTAGATATTTTCGTATTATAATCATTACAACCCATGGAATTTCCTGTTTATGTCCAATAGAGAAAGATATAACGCACAAATGTTTATAAAAAGGCGCCTAGTTGTAATCATTACGGTATGTTTTGTAAACGATGGCCGTGTTAAATGGAAGCAGCAAGATTTTGTTTATCGTATTAAAAGAAGAATATCGTAATAACTTTCCTCCCAATCTTTTATTCTAACTCTTTCATCACTTTTTATTTGTACTTACCATAATGGCAATATAATGTCTATAGGCATAAGGAAGTGGTCCATCACCTCTCAAAATGAAGTTTTGAGTCTTAAGGAAGTGGTCCAAATACGCAGGATGGAACCCCATTACCTGGCTAACGTGGTCGAGGCGATTATTTTGAAGAAACGCATCCACAAAGAGAGTATGCGTCTGAAACAAAGAAAAAACGTTTTTAAGAAAAATTGAAATAATTAAAAAAAAATGCGTATTAAAGCTAGATTAGTTAATCGTTCTCGATTGTTATAAAACTGTTTACTCACACGACGACGTCCTTCATAAATAATTATCAGTTAATAAACAATTGCCATTTGCAATGGTGATAAAAGTGTTTTGAATGCGGAGCCCCCGGTTTGAAACACACAAACGAACAATGATGATTCAGTTCGAGTTGCATTTATTATTCGTTGATTTATTTTCGCTCCAACGACTGCGTGACCTTCGAGGGCCTCTCTTCGAAAATATATTTAAAAAGAAAAATAAATGTTTGGTGAATGACCCAGATTTTTTTCTCTTAAAAAAAATGTTTTTATTTTATTCGTACACGTGTTGGCAGAAATATATATATATATATATAAAATTAAATGTATGTGTGTAGATAAAACTGTCATCTTTTTTCTAATAAAGGTGACCTCGATTAAGTTTTTATTTTTCACGTGGAAACTTTGATAAAGTTTCAATCAGGAACTGATAATCTGATATATTTATTTTAGACAAAAAAAGTATATATATCAAACCAAACATGTTTTAAGGTTTAAGTGGTCACATTCTTAAATTGTGATGATTTATGGGAAATTTAATACCTTTAATGTTTTGAGTGTTATTTTGTTTTACATAGAAACATTTCAAAGTTCGCGAGATGTTACGATTTGTTGTAACACAATACCCCGTGGCTTTAGTGTGCACATGTGCACTTTGGTGATATTTACTCGGTTTTCTGCAACTGGATACTGTAAACTTTAAATGGCGGAAAAGAGCAAAAAATAGACTTATCGAATTTCTTTGGATAAACAAGCTTGTTGAACTAATACATGGAAATAATACGTAAAAAATAAATAAGCATATTTTGTTGTAACAACAACAAGATTCTTTTACACTCTATGTGATTGGTGGCATTTTATTATTGGGTTCATTAATTTTATTATGATGGATATATGTGAAATTAATTACGAATATCTGTTGACATGCTTTTTATGGAAAAAAATTGAATTGAAAAAGGTTCCTTATCATACCTAAATTAATATATGATAACAGGTAATAAATATTTTTTAACATAATAGTTATTTATATCCTAAAATTAGAGAAAGTATATCTTCGGGCCGAGAAGCTACAATCAAATAACCAATTTTTAGGATTTACTTTTAGGATAGCAAACGAGTATTGTGTATAATTTGAAGTCGACAAAGCAGCTACAACCTCATCATCTAATATAGTTTTGTTAAGTTAGTAGAACAAAAAATATTCAGAAAAAAAATATTTTCTGCATTGATCGTGGCTTGGGCGTTTTTTGACAATTTTTGATATTTTGGCCATAACATATTTTGGGCATTATGATTTAGTTCATTAAACTTTCTGTTAAGATCAGGATCTTCCAGAATTCTGCACTCACGATGGAAAGTTGATATATCTACTCATTTTGAAGGGATATGCTAGCTCGACTAAGTTTTGAAGACGTTTCTTGAAGTTAATTCTCGACATAATCCGCATTCAATCGGATTTGTTTTGATGTCTAGGAAGATGATGATAATTTACGAGATGAAGAGGAAGAATAGGAGAAGATCAGGTCAGACATGGAGTTAAGGTTGTTCATCATGACGGCAATATGGACAAAATTTGACTTAATCCAAACTTCAAAGTTTACTCAAAAATGTATTATTGACTAAAGATAACACAATTAACTAAAAAAACCTATCGAAATGACTTAGTGCCGATCAAAATATTTAATATTAACTCAAAAACTTCAATGAAACCTAATAGAGATAAAGGAACTTCATCAAAACTTCAAATATAACCGAATGTTTGGTATCAACCTAAGGAATTGCAATAAAACTAAATGCCGTTACCACAATTTTGTGACATTGGACAATATTTATCCAATAACTTCATCGAAATGAAGCCAAATCCAAGAAACTTTATCAAAACTTCAAATTATAATCGAAACTTTAGAATGAAATAAATGAACTTACATGAAGTCTTTAAAACAGCATTAAAATCTTAATTTTGATCTGAAAAATTAATGTTAATTCAAAGAAATTCATGGACTTAATTAATTATAACAGAAATATTAGCTGTAAGTAAAAAAAAGTTCATTATACCACACATAACATATAAAACTTCATCAAAACCTAAATTTTGAACAGATAATTCAATGTTATCCTAAAAATTGCATTCAAATCTAACCAAACCTAAACAATATAGTATCAATGAAAGGAACTTCAACACTATTAAACTTTAATTGCCAACAAGAAGTTTAACATAAAAATTTGATTGAAAAGTAATTAAATTGAAGACATCGCCGAATTTTCATTTCTAATTCGCAGTTTTTTATCAAAAATTTGAATATAATTCAAGAAACTTCATCGCACATTGATTTAATCCAATAATAACTTCATCGAAACCTCATATTTATGCAAAAATGTATTAATAACGATAGAACAAACTCGAAACTTCAATTTTAGAAGCACTATTTAAGAACTTCATTAATGTTTTAGCAATTATTTCGATTTGATTCAATAAAAGCTTGATTGAATATAAAGTATTTAATTCAAAAATTTATTAATAACGACAAAAACTTCAATGAAACAATACTAAAGCTACGAACTTCATTGTAACGTACCCAAATTAAACAATATCTATTCTATTTAACATAGAATGAAACGTTGCTATCAAGGAAAAAAGTTGATATTAACTCAAAAAACTTTCTCTGAACCTAACCAAATTAAAAGAACTTCATCAAAACTTCAAAATATAACTGAAATTTTAGTATTAAGCAACAGAAGTGTAATAAAACTATGTGATATCCACACAACTTCACCTAAAATCATAGTTTTAATAAAGATGTTTAATATTAGCTGAAAATTTTTATAAAAACCTAATCAAATCCAAGAAACTGATTTTATCAATAATTTTGATTTATCTTTAACATTTAATTTACTTTTCTGACACTTTAAACATTAAAATGATACTTTTATTTTAATTTTCATGTTTAATTTTTTTAAATAAAATTTAAATGCTATAAAAATTAACTTCTATCAACATTATCAAAGAGAATATAATAGCTAAACCCCGTGTTGACAATACACTTCACATTAAAAGAAAATTTTTATGGATTTTCTGACACTAATAGTAAAAACACGATTGATTTATCTAAAATTTCTCGTCTTAAAAACTTTTTTTTACTTTTAGCCTAGGAGTGGTCCAGCAATTCTCCATCAAACCAACAAGGTTATCGTCCTCTTTATAGACGCGTGTGGTTGTGACCACAAAAATACGTCGTGTTGTTGCTCTCAAGCCAAAACTACTATTTTATTCCATCACAGAACGTGTAATATATTCGAACACGAATTCGTTACGTAAAATATACGCGGAAACGCGATGGTTTTTTTCTATTTCTCTTCACCTTCATTTTAAACGGGCAACGACATTAAATTTATCATTCGAAGGAAAATCATTTATAATAATTTGTATACGTTTAACAAAGAAGATAAGGAAATACCGGGGCGGTGAAGGAACGGGATAAAGAGATAGGAGAATATGTTTGTTTTATTACAATGTTAACACGTCGACGATGGTTATAGGGGTCCTCATGTAGATTAAAAACTATTGTTTATGGTGTTTTCTTGATAAGAATGAAATAACTTTAAATAGCGGCGGTAAAAATACAAAATAAAACAGTTATGATTCAAAGAAAAGTGGAGATGGCACACGAGTCTGATTCGATTCATTTAAAAAGTGTTAAAAAAACGAAAAATAAATAAAACCACTCGCGTCTATAAATACTAAAATTTAATATTAGAAAATCGTATCGTACGATATTCGGGATACTGTAATCAGTTATTTGTCGGTCTGCCAACGCGTCTGCGTATACATACATATTTTTCTCACTGTTTTTCAGCGGCATAAATAAATTTTAAAGTTGGTTAAAAATATTTTAGTATCAAAACCTTAAAAATGAAAGTCAACACCTTACAATTTGTTTTCGTTTTTGAAATAAGTGATCTATTTCCATTTCATTTTGAAATAAGCATCGATATATACAGGGTTATTTCGTTATAATAATGAAACTTTAAGTTTATCAATAAATTTCGTGCTAAAGTTGCGAAATATTCATTTTATTCGATGTTATTATCTATGATTCTATGAAGTAATCATAATGAATCATCAATTTGTAGATGATGACTATATAATTGATTTTGAGATAGTTATGATAACATGGTAATTTAATTGGGTATGGTATAAGGAGTTATCAATTGATCGATCGATTTATATAAACAAAGAATATTTTTGATGCTTTACTCATTGACATTGTTAAATGTTAAATTTATAGAGATGGAAGTATCGGGGGCATTCTAGTTACGAATCGAAGTGATAAGCAGGTGTCATATTCGCGAAATCCATCGACGGACAACGGTGGGCGTAAGTTATCGCTAAATGAATAATGTATTCGCAAGTACAGTCAGCACCAATACCGAATGAGGCGATTTTAATACAATAGAATAATGCACTGTTTCAAGAAAATAGTGCAAGGACACTAAATGAGCAAGTACTATTTTGCGGCATAATATAATTCTGAATTTAAAAAGGAATGACTAACTAATCAAAACAGCTTCAAGTAAATGATATGCAGAATGTATATTTTGAATTGGGAATAAATTTAAAAAATGGATTAAAGTGCATCGATAAAATATGAATACTTTTATGAACAAAAAACTATAAAATAATTGTAAATGGAGTTGAGGAGTTGGGAATCAACTTAAATTGTAGCTATTAACTTACTCAAAGAATTAAGAAGAGAATAACTCTAATTAGTATTAATGCAGCAAAAGATGGAAGTGCAGAATTTCACTTTCTGCCAAGTATATACAGCAGGCTATTTGGAAAAATACTCCTGAGATTAGGTCTAGAATAAATGGAAACAACTGCCCAAAGAAAAT